GTATAATATAATTATAATCTTTATATTTATTTTTTTAAGCTTTAGTGATTTTAATATAATAGTTAAAAATTAATGATCAGAGTATTTAAATAAGTAACTTACAAGTAGGTTACAGATATAATAGTATAGTGTAAAACTAACAGATAGTCAATTATTTGTATAATAAACTACTTAAATTAGACAATAACTAAAGTTGTATATGTAGCTTGTTATATACTTATTATGTAATTATAAAATCTTAAGAAATTACTATTTCAGTAACTTTATAATAACAAATTAATAAAATCTAATTAACCAAAAAAATAGTCTTAATAAAAAATAAAAATAAACTTATATAATATAAAAAAAGTAAAGTAATCATATAATAAAATATTATTTTTTAACCTTTTTAGCAAGTCATGCTAATATTTTATTTGCAATAAATTTTATACTTAACAAAAACAATTAGAATATATAGTTACTCTTAATATATCTAACTATGTAATTTTTTAAGTATTAACTCATCTAGTTACCCTAATAGTACCTATATATGATTTGCTATAGTGAGTCTTTTCCCTCATTATTACTATCTAATCTATTGAAAAATAATAATAAATTATTGAGTAAATATCATAGCTCATCATGACTTTTTGCTTATATGATAGGTTATTATTAAACTGATAATAGCTTCTCATATAGTAAAAAGAATAAATAAAAATTATGTATATAACAAAAGATATAATAGTTATATATTATATAATAAAGTTGTATAGAAGAAATCTGCTAATAGATAAAAACCTCTAAACAACAGACAAATAAAAGAAAAAAAAAAGATAAGGTCTTATCACAAAAGTAGAAGACTAGATAAAAATTGTATATATATAATACCAAAGTTATTCTTTAAATTTTTAAGAGAGTAAAGTACTATCTTACAGAGAGAATATTATTAATACAGATTTCCTATAGTATATATTAGGTTTAGTATGTATTTGTTGTTTGTATACAATGTAGAAAACAACAAGTTGATATCTAATAGTATTTGTTAATATATATTGCAGATCTTTTAGAAGAGTAAGCCAAATTCTTAAAAAACACCAAATGATTTAGAGAAAAATTCTAAAAGACAAGTTTGGAAGAAGTCACCTCTAAGAAAATAAAATTTTGTAATTTGTTTTCTTATTAAACAGTACAAATATATGTTATAACTAGCTATTCCTATGCTAGCAGACTACTAGTGAGTATCACTTGAAATAACAAAAATATTTAACAATTCTTCTTACTTTTGCTACTACTTTTTCAATAGTACTCAAAAATTACTTCTAGATAATATGACTAAAAAGAGCTTATAAGGAAAGTATTCGCTCACAATATATTATAGAAAACTTAGAAAAAAGTATTATTATCTGTATAATAAAAAAAATGTTTTTACAGGTTAGATTTTCTTTTTAGAAAAAAGTGATCAAAAGATCAACAGAAAAAGTTAAATGATAATAAAATATTATTATTCTAATTTATTATTAAAAAATTTTTTTAATATTTTTAATAATTTTTTATAATTTTGATCAGAATTAAAAATAATTTTAGTTAGTATAGTCTATTCTTGTTTATATTAATCTATTTAAATTAATTTTAAATTATATTAATAGTAAAATTAATAAGAAATTATATTAAAATTAATATATATAAAAAAATTTTTAATATATAGAAATTTATAAAAATTTGATTTGTGATTTAAATTAATAATAACAGGATTGATATTAACAGAAATTAACTATATTATAATAATTTAAATCAAAATTAAAATAGTTAAATTTTAAATTTATTAATAAAAATTAATTAGTTTTAAAATTATTTAGCAGTATCGAAACTTAATAAATTAAAAAACTTTTTTTATAACTTTATTTATTTAATCATTTTTTTTTTATTTTTATAAAAAAAAAATTCAATAGTTATATAGTATAAATAATCTAGTCTTAACAAATAAATATATATATTTTTAAATTACTACTCCTTATTCAAAAAAAAAAATTAAATAAATAAATTTTTTTAAATAATAGATCTAATCAAGCTAAACAAACTTATAATATTAAATTTTTTCTAAAAAATTTTTAATAAAATTTAAAATTCGAATAGTTTTATATTAAATTTTTAAATTTAATCATTTTTTATATATAAAAAAAATTTTAAATTTGGCTACTTAAAATTTTAAATTTGGTTATCTTTTAGATTTTAAATTTAAATTTGGTCACTTTATATATTAAATTTAGTAAAATTTCAAATTTGGCTACATCATATATACGTATAAAAATAAAATTTCAAATTTGGCTGCTAAAATTTTTATTGGTTGGAACTAGGTTGTTCGCACTACGTATATTATTTATTTTTGTAAAAGATATTAAAGGTTATTTATTTTTATTGCTAATTTAAGATGTTTGTATCATAGTAATTATAATATGTATTTATGATATTTAATATATAATTTGCAAAAGAAACAAAAAAAATTTTAGCAAGAAATTTTTTATTAAAACCTTAGATAAATATTAGTATCGGTATAATATGGTAAACTATTTTTTTTCACTATCTCTTTTTAGGGCAGTAACATTTATTACGTAATATTATTTTACTATGAGGCCACGTAATAGGTTTATAATTAATCAGTTAAATATCATAACGATAAGATTTCTTTAAACCCCTAAGATATTATGTAATAAATGTCACTGTCTTTGTTAAATAAATACACAGTATATATATAATATATTAAATAATTAAAAGAAAAAAAGATAGTTCGTCACTTGTTCTAACCATAAACCTTAAAAATTAAAGTAACAATGACGCTTAAAAAAAAGTATATTAAATAAACGACTATTTTTCATACGTAGTAACATTTTTGTTATTCGTATCACATCAAGTAACAAAATGACAAAAGTGCTATAATTAACTTTATCCTTTTTTATAACTTTTTTATAACTATATAAATAAACCATACAGACCTACAACACTCTACCCTTAAATTGATGAATTTTAAACATAAAGTTCATCCGGAAATTTTATCATTTTTTTAAAACTTTCAAAGATTGCTCCGCCGAGTTGTTAGAACTAATCGATTAATTTTATATGGAACTTTTGGACATAGGAAAACAATGTGCTGAACCTGATTGCAAACGTTTAGATTATCTTCCCACTAAATGTCAATATTGCAAAAAAGAATTTTGTTTCGACCATTCAAAACCAATTGAGCATAATTGTATTAATGCCCCTAGTCGAGACGGTGAAAGAGTTCCAACCTGTCCCTTGTGTGGCGTACCTGTTCCGATTGTTAGGGGAGAGGACCCCAATATTAGAGTAAGTTTAATTTCCAAGCACATATAAAACTGAAAAAATATATATTTTAAAATCGATTTTTCTTTTTTATTCAACCCATTAACCATTTCAGATAGATCAACATATAGCAAAAGGCTGTAACTCACCCGCAACTATTTCATCAAAACCATTCAACTCATGCTCATTTAATAATTGTAAAGAAAGAGTTGCTATCCGTTTGGTTTGTTCAGGATGTGGCAAAAATTATTGCATAAAACATCGCTTAGAACCTGATCATATGTGTGATAAAATAAAAAAGGATAAATTAATAAAGGGTAATGAAATAACGCTATCCGCCTCAGAGTTGGTAACGAGCAAGCCCAAATCTAAATCCAAATTCAAATCTATAGTACAGAAACCTAAAAAATCAATTAAAGCTTGGTTTAAAAAGATAATTAAATAGCTAATGAAGTATATATTAATCTAATTTAAACATTTTTTTTTTTTTTTTTTTTTTTTTTTTTTATTACATAGTCTTATTAATATCGATATGTAATTAATTAGTGTTATACGTAGTTTAGTTGATAAACATATACATGAGTCTGGCCTAGGACTCGTCCCTTAAATTATATAAAAACATGTGATCTTTATGCCATCCTGAACTGAATAAGCCCATCCAATCAAATTAATTATACATGATTCGGTTCAGGATTTAATGCATTACCTCATGTCGGGTCCTTACTTTCAAGGCAAAGAAACGCTTATGAATTTTATTTATTTTTGTTTTTATGTTATCGAATTAAAGCTCATTTAGCCAATGATGACTTATGAATTATGATTATATTGCCGGATAAGTATAATTTTGGGTAATTGATGAAAATAAAGGGAATTTTTTTTTCATCGTATTCCCAGTGAAGTATTTTGCTCAAATAAATTGCGCATAACTATAATCCACTAGCATGGATGAATTCTCATTTAGAGTTGGGTCTGTTAATTAGGATATCCGTAACTATCAATAAAAAGTTCATGATTTCATCAATAATAACAAAATAGTATGTAGGTTTTATCTTTATTTACTTTTAACATTTAGCATATATACCTGGGTATATCATTCATTTCGGAGATAATGGCCAAAGATATGAATGACATAAAGTGAAACTTGTAAATCTGATATATATTTTCATCGTACTGAACTCAACCCCTGATCAAATTATGACATTACATACTATTCTCTAAATGTTACCAAGCAACACGTGCTATAGCATTGAGTATATATGAAATATCATTATTTAATCAGATTCTTCAGGGGGTTGTCCGATACGGTGAAAATTTAAGGCAAACAGGTTTTCACTTGTCGCAATTCATATAAAAAAAGCGTTTTTTTTTTGCTCCGATGTGATGTAATTTCTTGAATAAAAGGAAACATACCAATGGTATGAATGTTGGCAAAAGAAAATCAGACTTCGGTTTTTGAATTACTCACCGGACTCAGTCCCTGAAAAATAATCAAATGAGTCCTATAAATTTGAGGTCTGATTTCCTTCTGGCGGCACTCATATAACCTAGTTAAAACTGTATTCACAATTCTAATCATTAATTTATTAATTGCAAAATCAAATATAACAAAACATAAATATATAAATTTATCTATTAATTCATACTTTATTGGATTCAAGGAATTTAATATAAATCTTGAAAAGTTTTGACATGGTCAAATGAAATTAATGATCTTTTTTGTTTTCATCCGCTTCTGCACTCTTCAGAAATTCCTGAATAAAGGCTTCTTCTTCTACAGAAGAAGCATTGATCGGTGGAGAATCGACAAGGGGATTAGGTTTTTTCGATTGGGCTCTTTTAACTGCAGCGTAAGCACCAAGACCGATAGTTGACAATGTTGCGATCGCAAGCTACCATTTAATGAATGTTCCAATATTATTATAACAAAATAATTAGCCTAAGCATCATTGAAAATATTTGCTCCTTTAACAATTCCATTTCCAATAATATCTATTCTTACGTATTCAGACCCGATCTTGCGACCCGCAATCATATAAACAGCACCTCCTCCCATTAGTGTTTAGGTTCTGTTGAACTTTTTGTTCGGATTATCTAGATAGTTTTGAATAACGGATAATATTTATATTTAAGCGGATATCGATATCGATATTATTTCAGATAATTATCTCAAAGTAATTAGAGATAAATTTCCATTATTTATTATCTCGATCCTTGAATTTTCATTGGCTGCGTATTTATATTTGAGTTAGTGCACAATTTAGGTATGATTCCGAAATTCTAATCACTGCCTCTATTATTATTGGTCGAAATTTCTTATCACCAAAGAAAAAATTATATTTAATCCGAAATTTGAAAAACCACTTAATTTAACCTTTTTTTTTTTTTTTTTTTTTTTTTTTTTTAACTATCTCTAATATCTAGAAATGCGTGTAGCACTTTTTTATTTTACTACAATTTGTAAGGTTTTTTTTTTTTAAACTTAGGCGATCTTACTCTTCATTTTATTAGGCGAATATCTTAAGATATTTAGACAAATACATAAAAAGAAAAAAAAATTCTAATTTAAGGTATGCCCGCCTTGTTGCAATTCCGGATTCACTCAGCTGCCCAAATGGTGCCCAAAATTTGTAAGGTTTTTATATATAACTTAAGTTTATAATATTATATTATATTTTGAGTCTCTAAGCTTATAATATATAACTTCTAATAGTCTTTAATTCTCAACTCACATGATTTACAGATACAGTATTATTTTTTATTAATATTTGATTTTAGTTTTATTTTTTATATAAAGATTCTGATTTTTGTATTTTTTTTTAGCAGATTTTTTTTTATTTAATAGTATGATATTTGTAATTAAGTTATATTTTTTGTTTGTATGTATCTTTTGTTTTTAAAACAAAAAAGTTTTTAAAAAATTTTAAATTTTTATTCATAATTTTAATTCAATTAATCTCTTAAACTGATAATTTTATAATTGTAATTTGAGAATATAATTATTATACTATATATAGACTTACAGATTTATTTAATTTTAATTTTTAATATTTTATTAAATTTTTTTTTAACATTCAGCAGTCATGCCGTAACTTTATTTAGATTTGTTTTTTTTAAAAAAAAAAACAACATTATATGGTTAAACCTTCTAATGCCTAATTTTTTAAGTTCCGACTCACCCGGTTATTCTAAAAATAC